GGGGTATTTTTCTATGGTCTAGTAACCACAGTAGGGTTAGACTCGATGTTCTTTGAGGTCTTTTCCAACCCGGTGGATTCTACAATTCTATGATTCTATCATTTCTAACCATTACCAGTGAGCAATGCTATAAAGATCTGAGACTGCAGTGAACTCTGCCTCTTACCCGAGGCCCAGGGTTGCAAAGTTATCTGCCCAGTCTGTGCCATATTCTAAAGATATAATTTCAAGCAGATTTGCTTCCAGTTTCACACAAATCAGCTTCTTACTCATGGTGTGATTTTTCAGAAGTGCTGAGCATTCATTTTTCCTACTGAAGTCAACTGAAATTGCAAGTTTTCAGCACATCTTAAAATCAGGCCATTAACCCTTAATTATCATATAATAGCTGAATTAAAAATCTACCAAGACTTACTTCAGTAGTAAGCCAAGCTCCTATGGCTTGCACACTAGCTATAAAAAAATCTGGTTCTTCAGTGGTGTCTGAGCTCTGGGGACTATTTAAAGCAGTTGCTGTTAACCCTGCTATTTAAAGCAAAAGGTACATGTTTCCCCTTCCCTTTCTTTTCCTTATAATTTTCTGCATTTTTACGGGAACAACTTTTGTTGTCTTCTTTGTCTTTTTTTGTTTTTAATCTTGCACCAGCCCTTGCTTTCAAATGAGAAACATGTCCTTTCTGTGCTATCAGAGAGAGCAGCCTGCCCAGCTTTCAGCAAAACCCACCTCTTGCTAATCAGAAAAGCTGCAAAAGAATAATACTCCTCTGTCCTGAAAGGACACATTAACTGACTGCTTGGGAGGTAGCTGGTTCACCCTTTCTTCACACCCAGTGCTGCTGTTAATGAGGTTCTGGTGCTCTTTAATGGACATACAAAGCCAAGTGAAGCACTTGTGGTCTTTTCACATAAGCATTTGATATTAAAGGAGAAGGTAAACTCCTAGCAGAGGTATGAAGGAATTACATCATTTTGGGACTGATTCAAAGCCAGCTGAAACCAGATGAAAGATTCTTACTGTGAGCTTTGGACTGGATATGCAGAAAAAAGGTGATTTCAGTACAATCTCAAAAGAAGACTTTTTATTTTGAGCATACACAAATGGATTTTTTTTTGCCAGCTTGGGAAATCACAGTAGTACTGTGGTTTACTCATCTGTAGGAAATAAGAATCTAGCACTAGGAAGATTATTTCAGATTTGTCTGACTTGTTGTCCAATGAGTGGACCTCCTGCTCATAGATGCCAACAACCAGATAGCCTCAAAAGGACTATCTTCAAGGATTACATGAAAGCTAAAGTATTTGAGCAGGAACTCTGCCATCTTATGTGGGTTTTTCACATTTTTGCTGGCTTGTTTAAAGCCTCAGGTAAAACAAGTGAGGAAGACAGAGATCTCAGTGTATACAATAAGCTTT